TTTTTGGTTGCAGCCATCATTGTTGTTTGGCGGGTCCGGGCTGGGGATTCGAACCCGCCACCTTAGGTGTATGTGGCTGGTGCCTTAGCTGCTTGAGCCACAGGTGCCGAGCCGGAAATCTAGACTCTTAATTGTTTCTGTTCAGACTTTGCTATTTCCATCTGAGCTTGTCCCTTCGAAGATATCTGATACCTCCAATTTCTGAGCCTTTCTAGGGTTTTGTGGTTAGAATTGGGTTACTTTTGGGGTTCCTACACTGCTGAACCCTTTCAGCTTTCTTGAACTTGCTAAGTCAGCATTATTCCTCTACTTTTCAGCTTCCCCCATTTGGTCACTCTCGAATCTGCCCTCCATCTTTGTCCTTTTGTTTTTTTTGAGACAGAGTCTTAGTATGTCGCCCTCGGTAGAGTGCCATGGTGTCACAGCGCACAGCAACCTCCAACTCCTGGGCTTAGGCAATTCTCTTGCCTCAGCCTCCTGAATAGCTGGGACTACAGGCATCCACAATGTCTGGCTATTTTTTGTTGTTGCAGTTTAGCTGGGGCTGGATTCGAACCTGCCACCCTCTGTATATGGGACCCACGCCCTACCCACTGAACCACAGGTGGCACCCCTGGCTTATTTATTGTTGTTGCAATTGTTACTGCTGTTTTAGCTGGCTGGGGCCAGGTTTGAACCTGGCACCCTGGGTATATGGGGCTGGTGCGCTACCCACTGAACTACACAGGTGCTGCCCGTCTGTCATTTTCTTATCCCTTCATTGTCCTTGTAGTGGCGTTTTGTAGGGATTGAGAGGGAAGCTGGGGCATTCCATTCCCTCAGCTGTAACAGGGAGTCTGTCCTAATCATCTCCTTCCTCCTCTTCTCCCCACTCTCCTGCCCCGTTGCCCCCCAGGTGTCCTTCCATTTACCATTAGCTGTTACTTCTGATCAAGTTGTTTTCTTCCCATCCCCACAAAGAGAAGACCACTTCTCTCATACTTATTTCTAAATAAAGTATAACAGCTTTTTTTTTTTTTTTAGGAGACAGAGTTTCATGTTGTTGCCCTAGGTAGAGTGCCATGGTATCACACAGCTCACAGCAACCTCCAGTCCTTGGGCTTAGGCGATTCTCTTGCTTCAGCCTCCCAAGTACCTGGGACTATAGGTGCCTGCCACAATACCTGGTTGATTTTGTTGCAGTTTGGCTGAGGCCAGGTTTGAACCCACCACCTTGGTATATGGGGCCAGCATCCTACTCAATGAGCCACAGGCGCCACCCTAAGTGCAACAACTTAATGAAGATTTTTAATAGTACCAAAAATTGGACAGGACGGCTCAGCACCTGTGGCTCAAGTGGCTAAGGCGCCAGCCACATATACCTAAGGTGGCAGGTTTGAATCCCCAGCCCGGGCCCGCCAAACAACGATGATGGCTGCAACCAAAAAACAGCTGGGCGTTGTGGCGGGCACCTGTGGTCCCAGCTACTTGGGAGGCTGAGGCAGGAGACTCGCTTGAGCCCAGGAGTTGGAGGTTGCTCTGAGCTGTGAAGCCACAGCACTCTACCCAGGGGGAATAGCTTGAGGCTCTGTCTCAAAAAAAAAAAAAAATTTTTGGACAGGAGTAAAAATAAACATGAGGAAAGTCCCAGTCTTGAGAACTGGCTATCTGAAGTGGAAATAAATTATTTTTATTCTTATTTTTTTTTTAAAGCATTTTATTTTATTTTTTTGCTGTTTTTGGCTGGGGCTGGGTTTGAACTTGCCACCTCCGGCATATGGGATCAGCACCTTACCCTTTAGAGCCACAGGCACCGCCCAATTATTTTTGTTCTTAAATGTACTTTGTACCTATAACGGACATATCTAGTTGTGATACTTTGAAGTTTTATGGAAAGTATATTCCCAAGGCCTTTCATGAATTTTATAAACATTCTGGGCTGGAAGTTGACCTTCATTTAAACATCAGAGTATTCATGGCATACTAATGGTGCTTCAGACTTTTGTCTGGGTACTTTTTCTAACTGGGTACAGTGGGGTCAACAGTGATCTCATTTAATTTCCATGACAGTTCTACAGGAAATGCTAAATGGAGTATAGAGACACAGAATCATTTGAACCGCTGGTATTGGAACAGTTGGTATTATTAAAATACCTTGAAGAGAAGAGGGCAGCAGTTTTAAAAGACTCTTGACCCCAGGTGTCCGTTGTTACTTCCAGGTGCTTTCTTCACATCTGTAAGACTGGACAGTTTAACTTCCCTTCAGACATCAAAGAAGGGCTTTGCCAGGTCTGTCGCCTCACAAGTCATCTATTATCTACTAGTCTGTTACTATGCCTTCATACAGGTGAGTTGAAAATGTCAGACATGAGAAATAATAAAGGTTGCCAGATTTTATCTGGGGAACTCTACAATGACATGTTACTAGAATTATAGCTGTGATTTCATTCCTTTCTAGAAACCTGAATTTAGTTAAAGGCTTACTTATTGCCAGGCAGAGTACAGCTCTTCTAATTTTCAAGAACTAAAGAATTAACTCTATAAAAACATTACTTTATAGGCGGCGCCCATAGCTCAGTGAGCAAGGCACCGGCCACATATACCTAGGGTGGTGCGTTCGAACCCAACCCAGGTCTGCTAAGTAACGGTTGACAACTACAACCAAAAAATAGCCAAGCACTCTGGCAGGTACCTATAGTCCTAGCTACTTGGGAGGCTGATGCAAGAGGATCACTTAAGCCCAAGAGTTTGAGGTTGCTATGAGCTGTGATGCCATTGAGTTCTACTGAGGGCAACAGCTTGAGACTGTCTCAAAAATATATATATATATTACTTTATATATAGTTTTTCCTACCCCTTATAAGTGGTACTAAGTAGGGTGAACAAAGAGCAAGTACTCAGAAGCACAAATGATTGCTCTCAAAAGAGAAAATATCTATGCCACAGTAGTTTTTGCTTTTGGGGGGAGGAGAGGGGTGTGTCACTATGTTAGAGTGCCTGCCACAGTGCCTGACTTTTTTGTGGCAGTTGTCATTGTTGTTTTAGCTCGCCCAGGCCAAGTTCGAACCCGCTAGCCCAGTGTATGTGGCCGGCGCTGTAACCACTGTGCTACGGGAGCAAAGCGCACACACGGTATTTTTTTCTTTATTTGCAGATTTAATATCCAATTTAGAAATGGTTTTTATTTATTTTTAAGTGACAGGTCTATAGTCTCCAAGAAAACGAATTAAATATATAAAATGGAAATTGTATTAGAGGCCACCTGTTCTGTAAGCAGCATTTGAGTGACTAGAGCTGAAGCAGGACAACCCATTTGTCCAACTTAGATCTGATCAAGTGCCCAGCAGTGTGCTTTGCCTGTAGAAGGCAGCGCTGCTCGCAACGCCTTATTAGGGAGAGGCCTTGCTAATCTTTCTGACTGTGATGTGTGATGTGTTTAGGTTCGGCGGCTGAAACGGCAGAGCTGGAGGTTCTTGAGTAGGAAGAGAAACATTCTGGACACGAGCATAATCCTCATTAGCTTCATCATCTTGGGGCTTGACACAAAGAGCATTTCTCTCTATAAGAAAAACATGGCACAATACCGCCAGGACCAGGACAGGTAAGAGGGAGCCGGATAGCCCTACCTTGTATCCGAAGTTTCCTGGTTATACATGTGTATTCTTTGAAATTCCCTCTCTTCCTCCTCTAGCCTGGCCAGATGTGTATTTGTATATCAGAGTTAAAACAGAACTTGAGCTAATGTCCACAACAGAGAAAACAATTAACTACAAACCATAAACCATCTAACTTCTGGTCCCATTGGCAAGTTCCTCAGGCTTCACAGCACTTAGGTATATGCTTGTCGAGGACAATGCATTTCAATTTCCCACAGCAAGGTCCTGGCATTGGTCATTATTTTGCACCCCAGCCAAGGTATAAAGCCTAAGGCATGAACAATAATTATCTTTTAAATAAAACCACAATACCTCATCCATCCTTTAAATGCCAATGGAATAGTTTTCTGGGTAGGGATGTCCATCCATTAACTCATCCTTACCAAGAGAAGTCTGATGCTCCTTTGGGCACCTTCTCCAGTCTTTCTCATGGAGAGAATCCAGTATCCCACAACACATTGCCAGTTGGTGCTTTGCTAACCTCTTCAGTGATCAGCAGTCTGGGCTGTGACCTATGTTAAGACTTTTCTTGCAGTACTGTCCTCATGGCCCCTATGGAAAACTTTCATTCAAGAATAGTAGGTCTGCACTTGAATGGTGCTGTGTGGTACTGCCTAGGTCTTAGGCAATGAAAGAACTGAGACCAGGTGCCAAGTAACTAGTTTCTACAACACAAAACTCAATAACAAAACCTAATTTGGTGAGCAACACTCCTTACCTCTCGTTTACACCATCCATCATTCTATTATAAGCACTATTAATCCTATTAGACCTACTACCAGAGAATGGAGGATCAGGAAACAGACCAGCATGATGACTCTTCTCATTGTGTTAACTCATCTCTTCTCAAGAGCAGAGATTAGGTCCAACTGGAGAGTACAGGAGGCTAGTTTTGATTTCCAGGGTGAATTTGGACTAGACAAATCAGCACAGGTCACGTTTCAAGGTTTCCTTAGCTCCTAACTAAACTGACCTTTGCTAACGTTCTCACATCTGCCCAAGTACAAGGGCCACGCTAGAAAGCAGAGTTCTTCCATCAGCAGGCGTTCAGCCTGACAGGGCTCAGCACTGCTGGGCTTCAGCAGCAGGAGCATGGGAAAAGATGCCATCAGAGGACCTGCTGATGCCTCATACTTCCTACTGAGTGACCATCAGCTTTCCTGGTACAGGTTCATCAGCTTCTATGAGGCCATAAGAGCCAACTCTGCTGCCATTCACCTGGCAGGCTTCCTACTTCTCCTGGCAACTATTCAATTGTGGAGTCTGCTGCATCGTGACCCCAGGCTGCAGGTCATCGGCAGGACACTGAGCAAAACCTGGGATGAGGTGGTGGGCTTCCTGCTGATCATCTTGATCCTGCTCACTGGCTATGCCACTGCTGTAAGCCCCCATGCCCAGGGCCTCCTTCCCTAGTGTGCTGTGATTTTGGAATCACATCATTTCTCTTAGAAAAGGTCACAATACGGAAAACCCACAAGTTCTGGAGAAAAGACAGGAGAATAAGCAAGTTGGGTTTAGTTATAGGCTAACTTAAAGCTAGGAGTTTGTCTCCTCTCTACAATGGGAATAAAATATAGCTCAGAGGGTAACAGGAAGGTCAAATAAACCTAAATGACAACACTCTAATTATAAAGGCATTTTGTGTAACTGGGGGGCATAGTGATTTTGAGTGCCACAAGGCATTTCTTTCCATTCCATTGGTTCTCTGTTGGCCACCTCAGCACAGATCTGCACTCCCTCCCACTGACTGGCCTTTCTCCACTTTAGTTTAACCTGCTGTTTGGATGGAGCATCTCCGACTACCAGACTTTTGTCAGTTCAGCTATGACTGTTGTTGGTCTTATGATCGGAATTGCTCACCACAATGAGGTAAAAAAAATAAAACCCATCTTCATTTTTCTGAAGAGCTTTACTTGGCTCAATGTATCTAACAAGGGGGAAATTGTTTATAAAAATAGTCCCCTGCTGGGCATGGTGGCTCACACCTATAATCCTAGCACTCAGGGAGGCTGAGGCTGGTAGATTGCCTCAGCTCAGGAGTTCCAGACCAGCCAGTCCAGCCTGAGCAAGAGGGAGACCCCATGTCTAAAAATAGCCAGGTGTTGTGGTGGGCGCCTGTAGTCCCAGCTACTTGGGAGGCTGAGGTTGGAGAATCGCTTAAGCCCAAGGGTTTATGGTTGCCGCGAGCTATGAAATCATTGCACTCTACCACAAAGTAAGACTCAGTCTCAAAAAAAAAAAAAAAAAAAAAAAGGAAAAAGAAATTGTCCTTTCCTAAGCACTTAGTTGCTCCTCCCTCACTTCCTTATCTTACTGCTGCAGGACCCTGGGTCTGGACTTGTTCTCTCACACCTGGCCAGGTGCTTGATTCTTGATCAATAGCCCTTTGAAGTGTCTAATGGAAATGACTTAGAAAACTGAGGGAGGTACCACTCCAGGAAGAACTGCATTATTTATTTCTGTTTGAAATAACTGCAGTGGCAATGGAGGCTCCTTCACTATCTCTTAGAAAGTTTTGTAAACTTTCTTACTATCTTTCTCTTCAATAAACTGTTTGACACTTGCCAGAAAAAGTCAATGGCAAAAAAAAAAAATCCTGTAAGAAAAGCCAGTTTTTCTTTTTGTGGTTAACCTGTTAAAATTTTGGCAGATTACTCTGTTTTAGAGCTCAAGTTTCTTGACAGGGTAGAGATAGTCTGCATTTTCACTTCTGGTGTCCATTTATTCTCTCAATATGCGTCTGCTGTCCCTTTAAGCTTCTATTTTTGTATTTTCTGAAACTATCAAAACTCACATGAGATGTGAATCATTTATAATTCCACTGTGACTCATCCGTTTTCTTGTGTAAGCTGTGATGTTAGAATTACTTTAACATCTTTATAGTCAGTCATTCCTGTCCTACTGTCCATTAACTATTTTCCCTTTCATTATCTTTGTGCCTCCCTCCCTAGTTTCCTCCAGGTATGCTTGGGAGTAGATCCTAAACATTAGTGCAGAGCTGTCTGTAAAGTAGAAACTAATCTGCCAGTCACTCAGTCTTCTTACTCTCTTTCCAGGTTATGGCTTTAGACCCAGTCCTGGGCTCCTTTCTGATCTTCACCAGTGCCATCGTGATAGTGCTTGTGATAATTAATCTTTTTGTTTCTGTCATTCTAATGGCCTTTAGAAAAGAAAGAAAGTCCCCTAAGGTAAGTAACTAAAAAATTATCATGATTTTCTATCACTGGGAAAGCTGAACCTTAACAGCTCTGAAGATTACAGACTGACATAGACAGTATCAGAATATTTATTAGTTTTGGCTCCGCGCCTGTGGCTCAAGTGGCTAAGGCGCCAGCCACATGCACGTAAGCTGGCGAGTTCGAATCCCCAGCCCGGGCCCGCCAGACAACAATAATGGCTGCAACCAAAAAATAGCCAGGCGTTGTGGCGGGCGCCTGTGGTCCCAGCTACTTGGGAGGCTGAGGCAGGAAACTCGCTTGAGCCCAGGAGTTGGAGATTGCTGTGAGCAGTGAAGCCATGGCACTCTACCCAGGGGGACAGCTTGAGGCTCTGTCTCAAAAAAAAAAGAATATTTATTAGTTTCAACAGCTCTGCCAACTATTTTCCTAGGAAAACCAGGCGGCACCTGTGGCTCAGTGAGTAGGGCAGCGGCCCCATATACCAAGGGTGGCAGGTTCAAACCCAGCCCTGGCCAAATTGCAACAACCAAAAAAATAAACAAAAAAACTATTTTCCTAAGAAATATACCAATATACCAAGACTATATAATGTTCTATAGCAACTGTGCGATAAAGAGCTGGCCCTTAACAGTTAAATAGCAGAAACAGTGATACTTGACAGTAAATTGTATCTTTACTATTACACACTTACTAATTTTTATGTTATCTTTGGTTGTTTCTTTACTTGAACATTAACAGTAATTTCGATTTTTCATTCTTCTCCTTTGGTTTTCAAATACTCAGAAAGAAGCCACACTGGTAGATACTCTGCTACAGAAGCTCTCAGATTTGCTAGGAATCCAGCGACACCAGGCCACCTCATCTAAGCAAGCAGCCGTAAGAGCAATGTGCAACAACATGTTTTAGAAGATCAACTACCGTGATTCTGTTACTTCCTATCTTGGCTTATTATTTCCTAGCGTATTAATTACTTATCTTTGCATGGGATAGCTTAGAAAATTATTGATGTATATAATATACTTTGTTCTTAATTCTGCTAGTGAGGAGTAAAAATCCTCTTGGCTCCACATTCTTGCTTATGGATCTTGGCACTGTCAGGAAGGGGTAATACTGCAAAAACATTACAGAATATACTAGCTCTGCCAAGCATTAAGTAACAGAACACTCACTGTGCCACAGGACGGCTGTGAGAAATCAATGAGTCAGAAGTGACCTCATGGCAACCTACTAAAAATAGATACAAGCATGTGCTTTGGCTGACGTGGAGCCTTGCCACAGAGGAGTAACCAAACTCACGGATCAGATGTATCTGGGCTTAAATACAGAGATCAAAAGACACCTGCCTTTATGAGGGAACCCAAAGTGAGGCTGGCTCTGGCTTGTGGATCAACATGGATAACTTGCTTTTAAAATATTCTCCACTAAAATCCAAATTTGTACTTCCTTGTTTGACCCAAGAGTGGAGAAAGCAGGACACAGGATCTTCTAACTTTATTAGCAGCTACTGAGCTATGAGATACAAACCAGAACCATTTAAAGAAAAGTTGCTCCAAACAGGTATGTACAGATAGACTACACAGAAGTGAAGCCATCCCTGTGAGGAAGGACAGTCTTAGCTAAGGGGCAGAGGAGCACGTGAGCTACAATAGTAAGAGTCGCATCCATTCAGGAAAGCAGTGAACTACAGCCATGTGGGCACCAAAAATAGTTATCTGAGATCAGTTTTAAAGTTTCCATTAGTTATAAAGTTTTCAAATGAAAACAGGTACCCCTCTTTTCCTGTAGGCTTTCCAGCTCACTACCCAAGAGTCTTGAGTACTTCTATTAAGGCAGCTGGAAGCCCACGAAGGCTTGAATGGCAGCTTCTGCCCAGTATGTGGCCTGTCCTCCCTCTGCCAGAGATGCAATCCAACAGAACATGCCATGTGGAAAACAGAAATTGCTACAGTGCTGCCCTCTTGTAAAAGGGAAACACAGCACTCAAAATAAAGCAAAGGCCACAGAGGGCTCCCTGAGAATCCAGCAGAACTAAGCGAGGACTTCAACTTTTCAAACAAATTTTACAACTGGATCCAGGTGGAACAGTGCCCTGCAGCAAGGAGTGTAGATACCAACGAAAGGGCCAGCTTCCAGGAACTGTCATCATAATGGCTTCCGGAGTCATGTTCTCTCTCTCCCATTCACATTACAGAGAAAAGACACACCATGATCTTGATTCTCTCACCTCAACCCCGGACAGAGGGGCCTGTTTCTACATCTGGAACCTCAACATGAGACTGAGAGGCTCATGGGGTGCTCTCCTTCACTGTCGTGCCCTCTCTGGTGGCTCTCCCCACAATGTGTTCATCTTCCCACTCCTATGGAGAGGCCAAGAGAGAACCTGGGATCCCTCTGACAGGAAATGGCAAGCACAGCTGCCAGGAGCCACCTGTTAGTCTCTTAGGATCAATAGAGAACTGGAAAGCAGCAGAATCTGGAGAAGTAGGAAGAGAGCCCAGAGGAAGTGTGCTCAGTGATGGTTAATAGATGAAACGGAATTTCATGGAGATTCTTTGTTACATGGAGAATCTGCTCAGTCTCAACTCCCAGAACTTAGAAATTGCCTAGATTAAAGGGGCCTATGTTTTCTTTTTCAGTTCTTCAAACCTTCGAGAAAGATCATCAAAGTCAATGTCTTCAGATGCTGAGGTGCTGGCACCAGCAGATGCGGTGGGTAGTGTGTCTGGCACAGATGGCAACTCCGGTAGTACAAAGTTGTCGTAGTTATCCATAGGCCGGGAAGGGAGCTTTGCAGGGGCTTCTGGCTTGGGTCCAGGACCTATAAAATAAGGCAAGAAGCACAATGTTATAAATGCCAGAGAAATGGCTCAGGTCCCTTTGGGCAGAAAAAATTATCAAAACACAGGAGAAAATACTTGTTTTTAAAATAAATTAACTCTTAATTAAGATCAATATAGGCCAGGCAAGGTGGCTCACACCTGTAATCCTAGCACTCTGGGAGGCCAAGGTGGGTAGATTGCTTGAGCTCAGGAATTCCAGGCCAGCCTGAGCAAGAGAGACCCCATCTATAACAATAGGAAAACTTCCTGAGCATCATGGCAAGCACCTATGGCTCCAGCTACTTGGGAGGCTGCGGTAGGAGGATCTCTTGAGTTCCCAAGAGGTCAATGTGAGCTATGATGACGCCACAGCATTCTATCCAGGAAGACAGTGAGACTCTATCTCAAAAAACAAAAACAAAACAAAAAAATACTGCTTAAGAAGAACCAGAATACTACTTCCTTAAGGCTTAGGGAAGAAAAATTGTATAAGGAATGTTTATGTCTGTATTATCTGAAGTAACGGGCTATGTATTTCTGGTCTTTGGCTTTGTATTTTATGTTAAAATCATCCCATTTACCTAGTGTTTCTATTTATATCTTAACTTCTAGAATAGGCAAAACTAAATTATGGAAAATCAGAACAGTGCTTGCCAATGGAGGGGAAGGGGGAAGTTGACTGGAAAGAACAGCACTTGGGGTGCTGGAAACATTCTATACCTCGAATCCAATAGCAATTGTGTGTGTATAAAAAAAACTCAGTGTGACTTTTAATGTAAATTGTTAATTCAACAACTGTCTCTAATGTTAGAAGTATCCTCCCTCAGGGTTTCTACAATTATTTTTCAACTGCATGGAGAACTACATGAGCATGCAATGAGATTATATACTTTTCACCTTTTTAATACCTCTCCAATGCCTGCATTGAAAAAAAATTATTTTTGGTATTTCCAGGCACAATAGAACCTGAAGCAGCAGTAACAAAGAACTTGAAAGTGACTTGATCTTAAAAAAACTACAAAATCAGAATAGCGATGCCAGGCATGGCTGGTTCATGGCTGTAATCCTAGCACTTTGGGACGGCAAGACAGAGGGAATCACTTGAGTCCAGGAGTTTGAGACCAGCCTAGGCAACATAGTGAGACCCCGTTTTTATCAAGAAAAAGAAAAATCAGCCAGGTATGGTGCTACACGTCTTGTAGTCGTAGGGGGTGAAGCAGGAGGACTGTGTGAGCTGAAAGTTCAAAGCTACAGTGAGCTGTGATTATACCACTGCTCCTCTAGCCTGGGTGAGGGTTATCAATGACAGAAACAGGAAACTTGGGAAATTCTTTTATCTCTGGAAGCATTAGAAGCCTTAAGTTCTGTTTTAGCCATACCAATTCTGAGAAAGAGTAGGGAACGTGGGTAGAATATATACCATGGACATGGAAACACTCTCTGAGGGAAGAACAATGACGACAAAACAGAGGGTTCAGTGATGAACTTCAAGTTTCTGACACTCACCAACAATCTGTGCAGAAGAGACATTCTCATCAGCATTAATGTCATCAACCTGCAAGAGAAACATTATCAGAGGAAAAAGCAGTGGCATCACTAAAGAAAGTACCTATATAAACCTCTGTTTTCTTTTTTCTTTCTTTTTTTTTTGAGATAGGAGCCTCAAGCTGTCACCCTGGGTAGAGTGCTGTGGCATCACAGCTCACAGCAACCTGCAACTCCTAGACTCAAGCAAGTCTCCTGTCTCTGCCTCCCAAGTAGCTGGGACCACAGGCGTCCACCACAACGCCCGGCTATTTTTTGGTTGCAGCCGTCATTGTTGTTTGGTGGGCCAGGGCTGGGTTTGAACCTCCCACCTTAGGTGTATGTGGCTGGCGCCTTAGCCACTTGAGCCACAGACGCCGAGACCATGACACCTTTTTTAATGATACCTTCACCTTTCAGGCCAAGAGGAAGCACTAACCACTAGATATACTAAGAACCAAGTCCTCAGATGCTGATAAAGACCTCCAACCTCATTTCCAGAAATAGCTGTGGGTCATGCTTTGACACATGCAAGACCAAAGCATAAGACCAACTCAGGCCCAGTGTAAAACAAATCAGCTAGAGCTAAAAACAAAAACCGGCTCAGGAATAGGAAGATTTTCCTAGGTGAATGATTTACATGCCACATGCCATATCAATTTCTCAGTAAAGTACCAGATGAAAACAGGGTTCAAAAGGCATGTATACTGAGGAAACAAGGCGTGCAGACAATTAATTCTGAACAAGACTGTTACAACCACATATAATTCAAGGCATCATTATCATACTGGCAGTTTTAAGCAAGTTTTTAACTATAAGACTAAAAATGTGAAATCAATGATAAAGTTGAAATTTGCTAACTAAATTCTTTTTTTTTCTAAGACAGAGCCTCAAGCTGTCACCCTGGATAGTGTGCCATGGCATCATAGCTCACAGCAACCACCAACTCCTGGGCTTAAGCAATTCTCTTGCCTTTTTTTTTTTTTTTTAAATTATTTTCTCCTTTAACTTTTGTTGTGGTTGCAGTTTTTGGCCAGGGCCAGCGCCCTACTCCTTGAGCCACAGGCACCTCCTTTTTTTTTTAGAGACGAAGTCTTACTTTATTGCCCTCAGTAGAGTGCTGTGGCATCATACAGCTCACAGCAACCTCCAACTCCTGGGCGTAGGCAAACAGCCTCCCACGTAGCTGGGAGTACAGGTGCCTGCCACAATGCCCGGCTATTTTTTGTTGCAGTTTGGCTGGGGCCAGGCTTGAGCCCCGCCCTACTCACTGAGCCACAGGCTCTGCTAACTAAAATTTTTTTTTTTTTTTTGAGACAGAGCCTCAAGCTGTCCCCCTGGGCAGAGTGCCGTGGCATTACAGCTCACAGCAACCTCCAACT